CTTGAAGACCTGAAGCCTAGTGACGACCTGAAGCCTTGAAGACCTGATGCCTAGTGATGACCTGAAGCTTTGAAGACCTGAAGCCTCTTCGTGTCTTCGTGTGTCTTCGCGTGTCTTCGTGTGTCTTCGCGTGTCTTCGTGTCTTCGCGTGTCTTCGTGTCTCCGCGCAAAAGTCACAACCCGCTTCTGCCAACCAATGATTCTTTTGACAACCAGCGAAACGTGGTCAGGCCACCCGACAACCGCTAGAGGCTGCTCCAAAAAACAAGGGAGCCAGCTGCCCATCCCACCCACATCAATGCGTATCAAGTGGCCATTTCGTTGAATATTGCTTGCAATGTCGTTTTTTCCGGGCTGCATTATTGAAAAACAAATGCGGCAAGATGTCAAAAGTGTATTCTTAAAAAGTAATCCTTTTAGCTATTTTAGCAATTATAGACTGTACCTGGAACCAGGACGCGTTCAGCGCACTGGTTGCGTCGTTTCCGCGCACACAGGCCCCGTTTTCCCCGTTAACGTCCTGCAACGCGGGGTGAACCACTTCCACCAAAAGCATCGCCCAGACGGTCATCACGACGAAGCAAAGCAAAAAGGACCAGATTAAGGTCCGGAAGCATGTGGCCATCATCATGACCAGCTTGTGCAACTCCCTCAACGGTCGGACGCGCTTCCTGAAAGGGTCCAGGTCGCGGCCTTTTTGTCCGTCCAAGAGGGTCGGGTCCGTCTCAAACGTTGTTTGGTCCGGCGACCCCTCCGCTCTCTCGTCTCTGTCGCTGTCTGTCTCTTGGTGTAATCAATGGTGTGCATGCATACGTCTACCTATAAGGCAACAGGGTCACTTTTAGATCAGCAATTTGGCAAAACCACTTGGGAGGGTCACCCTGTCACCAAAGTGACGTCCGGCGTCCAAGAGATCACGGCTGCCAAGTGGCAACAAGCGCATGAGTCGGAAGATCCGCACTAGCCGCAAGGCTCGTAGCATTGCAATGTTGAAGCCCAGGCCATGACCCTCAATTGAGTCAACGATCTTCTCAACCCAACCGCACATGACAATGAAGAGATCCAGCAGAATCATAAAATCCCTGAGCGTCGTGGTGGCTGTTTCGATGCCGTGCTGAAAATGCCGGTTCTGTGGTGGTTTCGAATCCACATCACAGGAGGCAAGCGCAGGGGGGGGATCCTAAGGCTTGCAGGTGCAAGAAGGGAAACACATACTTTGAGATCCTAAAGGCATCAAGGTAGGTCAATATGCCGGAATTGGCATGTGGGGGTGCTCCGATGCCATGCCGGATGGGAAGATGTGTTGTGGGTGCGACATGTCGGTCGGCTAGGGAGAACCCCGAGCGATGTTTGCAACGACGCAGAGCTGATTGACGTATGATTCACAGAGAAAAGCAAGCTGACAACATATTCGCTGTAACATGCCCTTGAAGCAATTCTTTGCACCATTTGCACATGTCTCATCACATCCTTCTCAGCAACCTTGGACCAAACAGCTTAAACTATGCCAAGATATGCCAAGCCATGCAACCGCATGTAAGCAAGAAAACACGCAAAAAAATCAAAACATGGCCGGACTTAGAGTGCAAAGACTTCCACTTCCGCTTCAAATCTCAGAACCATCCGCAGCGGTTTTGCAAACATCCACACAACGTCCAGCACCACAGCCACCACTGCCACGATCACCACCCCCCCACCAACAGACCGCCTCTGCGTCCGTCCCTACCTATAGTCAACCCACTATTTGCGACGTCGACCCTACCAGTGGTCGAGTTTTAGAGTTCTTTATCGCCGGCATCTCCGACACCCTCAATTTCCCCACTTCAAGGAGCACCTAGCAGTGAGGTGCAATATATATTATATGTATATAATCATTACATTGCTCCTGACTCAACTATAATTACAACCTACTAGATCAGTTCAATTCAGATAGCTACCTGACCCGCCCACATGAATCTCAATGAAATGACCCAAATGTGACCAGTGCATGAATGAAGAAGAATCTCAGAAACATGTCTTTTTTTCTGCCCTTGTCTGTTGGCCAATCGCTGTGGCTCCAGCATGACCTGAACGTTTCGAAACCAAACGTCGTAGAATTCCCGCCTCAAGATCCCAATTCCAAAGAGCCCAAGCCATCCGAGCACCTCCAACGAGTAGATCGCCTAAAGGGCGGGTCAAACCGGACGGTCACCCAAACGAAACCGACGTCTCCGCCTCGAAGGGCTTTCCGGGTTCCGGCGGTCTGGAGGTTGATACGTTGAGGGGAGCTTATAGTAGACTCAGAGACTCTTGATTCATTTTTGTCTTAATTACGTTAATTAAGTCATACAACGTCGTATATATCATATCATATATATTGAACGATGAACGTAGTATGTGTGAAGAGGCTTTGCAATCCCAAAGGGAGGTTGTATTGATCATGATCAAGAGTCTACATGATGGGCCAGGCAACGCACGAAACAAACGCCGCGAACCAGATCGCACAAGCGGCCAGGTGAGGTAAATGACAAGAGGAAAGCAAAACACGAGTTCGAAACTGGTGCGGCAAGCGGCCAAGCACAAATCCGAGATGATGTTGAGAATCTCCGGCGCTTGTTCCTGTGCAGCTGTCGCATCAATGTCCCTGCAGGTGCAATATGCATCCACCAGGACAACGACCGCCATGAAGTTCGCTAAGTACGCGCTATTCATGAACTCCTTAAGCTTGGCGATCGCTGATGCGGCTTTGATCTCGTGGTCAGAATGCAGAAAGCTTCCAGCCACATGTAGCATTTGATTCCTCCTGCTGCTGCCATGGCTGGCTTCTGGACCACTGGGCAAGGATGATGATGAGACCTCCATCACCAGGCGCCTTCACGGGGCTCCTTCGTCGCAGGACACCGGTCGACGCAGCACTTGAACCAGCGGTCGACGCCGGGGTCGGACGAGAAAAAGCGGTCCCACCACGCTGGGCGACAGGACCCGAAAACATGCACGACACCAAAAACATGCACGACGTCAGAAGGACGAGATGTTCAACGGTCTTTGACAAACACTCACAACACCACGAACGCGGAAAACTCTCTCTGCTGGCGCCTGGCGAATTGCGCCTGGCGGGAGAACAGGCCTGGACGCCGACAGTCGTCCTACTTCGGAGAAAGGTCCGCCAGAATCCTTGGCAGTTTAGTAAAACAAAGGTTTAATGCTGATAAGAAGAACATATTGACAATGACAAATATTATCATGAAGATACGCCATGAATGATAAAAATCATGGGTTCTACAGTGAATTTTAATATTAGATGTGGACCTGTCGTCAAATCTTCCCCACGGTCCGTGACTTTTTGGGGATGGCCGATTCAAAAGGCCACGAGAGCATGGCAAAAGGCGAAGACACGGAGCATGGCATGAGGCCGTTTCATGTCGTTTCCATTCGTGTCCCATCTCCATTGAGGTCGATGCTAACTTGGATGCTGCGGCATCATCCAGAAGGTCTGAGACCGGCAAATAATATTGAAATATATTATTCAGTTGATTGTTGTTGCATCATCTTCCATCTATCTGGTTTCAAAGGTCTGTAGCACTTGAGATTGGCATAGCTCTTATGTCACTATATACTGATGACTTATAAAGTATGTGAGATGCAAAGAGAAGAACGAAACTTGTTACCGGCAAGAAAAGTCGCTATGTCATGCTGCTGTCTGACAGCTGTCTGTCACCAGGCACCACTCTTTGCTACTGATAAGGCGAGATGTCGCTGAAATTGGCAAAGTTTGACACACCGAATATCCTGATCAATGCTCAGCAAAGCCTCCATCTTCTTGGGAGAACGCTGTGCATGTCTCTTCCGGCGCCGAAGAGATGCGAACAATGAGGGCATGAAGAGACGCTCCATGCAATTCTGGCATGTTAAGACATCGTCGCTTTTCACCCACCTCACGCGATCTGGGATCGATCTCGTCACAGTAGCGTGCACCCCTTTACCCGGAACTCATCGCCCAACTCGACGCCAGTCATGGACTCCAGTGCTGGAGGCTTTCCCAACGAAACCGCCACTCCTACCTGCCCGGACTTCGACTCTGCTCGTCGCGCAGCCGCGACGCGCGGTGATGACTCTCTTTTGGCCGACTCAGCGCTCCAAGGCCCACCACAGCGCCTCGGCGAGGGGCGCCCCTCACGTGAGGGGCAAGGGTGACACAACAAGAAGGAGATAAAAAGGATAAAATGGACAAAAAGGGGCCCGAATAATGCATAGTGTACACTATATCCATTGTTTATTATAGTCATTTATATAATATAAGGCCTACTATATATAAGGCCTTTAAACAACCCCACGAGAAAAAACACACACATGAATTCAACAACATCTTCGCAAGCCGCAGGGATCCGAACCAGCCGCATGAAACGAATGGTGCAAAAGGAATGAAAATGGACACCGCTGGAAGATCAACAAAAATGTTCGAACACACAACATCATACAACACGTCCAAAAGAACATTGAACATTCTGAAAAGTATAAGCGCGCAGGTGTTTCTATACTTTTCTGCCAGATGGTCAGATGTTTCTACTTCAAGTCCTGCAGATTCCCGGTGCGGACCCAAAGAGTGAGTACCCGTCACTTCAAGCACTGGGTCTCCCCCAGCCTTCAGCTTGCCTTTGAGGACCTGCCACGGTCAACCGAACCCGCAACTGAACCAACCTCAGGGAACGGATTGGGGGCCCCTCTGTTTTTCTTTCGGCGTGACACGGTGGAGGTCGGACTGTGAAACGAAAAGGATCCTGCTTGATTCCAGCAGCAGAACAGGCTGGCAAAGCCGAAAGCACACCAACGGCCACCCCCGTCGACGGAAGTCTGGGACGGCGACCCGGGTGTCCTACGGTGATCCTATAGGTGTGCTGCAGTGTACTTGGTCTTCTGAAGCACCTTAAAATCATCAGCCAGAACCCCAAACTGCATGGAACCGGCGCCCGCCCGCCCGACGCGGGAGTTGGCGTCCGTGCGGTCGGTTTGGGAGTTTGCGTCCGGGGCCTCCACGGAGCGTCGTGCGGCTTGGCGACGTTGCGCCAGGACGTCCTGCTCGTTCCTCAGTTCCTGCGAGACGAGGAGTACTCCGGCGGCCGGCAGGGATTTGGGAGCCGAAGCATCAGAAACCAAAAAGGAGGACCTTTGGAGTGCGGAAAGAGGAGACAAGAAAACACGAATCACCCCCTGTTGGGGGTGTCCGGAAGGTGGTTAGGTGGTTGGTCATTAGATGTGGTCATAGCATGGCATCATCAAACACCCAAGTCTGGTGGAGCTTTGAAGGCCACAAGCACCTGCTGAGAACACGCAGTGCCAGTTGCGGGTTCTTTCACGCCTCACATGGCCGGCCCATGGCCCGCTCAGGTGGATTCACCCATGGCCCACGGCTGCAGTGCTACGGCCCTGACTTGATTCGTTGAAGGACCTGGATCCTGAAACCGATTCGTTGTCTGCCTATACGGTTGGCTGGCTTTAGAAATCCCTAGATGAATGCAAACACACGAGCATGCTTGGCCAAGTATTTTTCTATGTGAATTCATTTCATGATTGGATAACCTCAGCGGATGCCATTTGACCGACCTGTTTGCAAGATGGGACGATCCAGGTCGTATGCGGAACGCGGAGGCGCAGGATGGGCCGTGCCGTGCCTCTTCCTTCTCTTGCAGCTCCCTGCGGACCGGTCGAACGACGGGTCCAAGTGACGGGTCGAAAAGGACGGATCTTGGGTCCCTGGGAGAGTTGCCCCTCCTCATTCTATAGATATGAATGGATATGATGGGAACGGTGAACATGGCCTCCATCTTCGCTGGATTTGGTCTTGGCGCTAGCTAGTGGTGCTTGGCATAGGCCCTATAGAGGCCCCAAGTCAAATCTGCTGCTAGTTCTGGCGTCCTGGGTGTCCGGTACTCACCTCTCATGACAATATACCCCTGCTGCCATTTGCGACAACCTTCTGCTACTTCCTGCATAGCCTCCCGCCTTCGAGCCACGTCCAGCTGTGTCTGCGCCAAACGGCGCTCCTGGCGGCTGGCAGTCTCCCCACGGTCCACTGGGTCTTCGCATGATGAAACGGCACGAGAACGTCAGGAGAAGCGATTCGGGCACATCTTTTTTCTGTCGTCAGCCAGCAAGCCAAATGAGAATTCCAGTGAACAGCGCAGAGATGGCAAAAGGCAGTGCCAAGTTGGAAAGCTTCTCCTTAGTCGGTGTTCAGAAGAATGTCCCCAGAAAGCTCTGGGGTAAAGCAAGCTCCCATTTAGAGTGGACGTTCTGGTCGGGCCTCTGCATGGTGACAAGCCTGAGCACCCCACTGCCCCAAAAAAAACGCCAAAGAAAACGAGCTGAGATGCCTTCGTTTCTTCCGTCCACCCCGACCTCTCCATGCCTTCGTCCACGGCTCCGGTCGTCCCAAAAGACCGACGTCGAAGCCGACCGGGACGACCGGTCGGACGATCCATCGAACGAGGGCGCCCTGTCGCGAAGGTCTTCCGGTGATGGAAGAATCGGTTTGGTCAAGTGGATGGCATGGCCATGAACGCACTTCAGAAGCACAAGAAAGGCTACGAGATGGGTCCTGAAACAGGGGCTTGGGTTCCCCCCCCCCTTCCCCTTCCTGGAGCAAGCTGCCATTGGGATGGTTGTGAAGCCCGAGACGTCCTGCCGGTGTGACGGATCCGATTCCGACCTGCCAATACCAGCAGCATCGGCAGCATCGGTACACCATACCTGAGGCCTGGTACACCATACTATGCGTTTGCCTCTTGGCTGTACTTAGATTTAGATGAAAAGCCCGACCTTTTGGGTGATCGTTGGAAGATTCAGGCAATACATGAAGACTGGGGATCCTGTGCATTGGAGCGGGGCTTCTCCGGATCTGAATGCATCATGCAAAGCTCATAGCCGCAAAGCTCATTGCGAAACTCTTCATGCTCCGCCCTAGTCACTGGCCTGATAGCCCGTGGTCAGCGACGCGTGCTTCAACAGCGCCTCTGTCGGAAGGCGCTGCTTCCAACGCGCGGGCCCGGACGAACCCAGGATCCAAGGAACCACACCTAACAGGCAGCCAAGCTTCGGAAAGGTTTCCTTTCATCAGAGTGCTGTTGCTATCGCTCAGCCTCGGCGCGCTCGCGCGCGATCAGGTCGGTCCAAGTGCATGCGTGGTCGATCCGAGATTCGAGACATGTCTGGGAGGTGTGGATAAGGTCTTTTGAGCATTCTTGGGACAAAACCATGGCACCCTTCGGGAAAAAATAAACATTCAGCTCAGGTATAAGCTGGCATAAGCTGGCTGCCTTCTGTAGCCCAGTCCACTCCTAGCCTCTCCGGGCCAAACCTCCGATCTAGCGCACCATCCCTCCTAGCCTCTCCGAGCTCGGACGGCCCCCGACCGCCCCGTCGCTCTACCCGCGAAGGCCGGCACTGGGTGACCCGATGGAGTCGAACAGCCGAGCAGTCCATTCAGTCCGAACAGCTCGTCGGTTGCGCCCGCCCGGCACCGTCTTCACTCCGTCTTCACACGGAAAGCGGGTCGGAGGTCCCGACCTCCGGAGGTCCGTCGCGACCCGGAGTCGACCAGTTCGGAACGCCCAAGGGGCTGGTCTTGCAGCGAGTTCACCAAGGATTCGAAGTCATCACCATCGCCGCGCGGCTGCACGAAGAAGCGCACCACCACCTGCAATTCCGCGCGGTTTCGGAGGCGAGGTCTCCAGGAGCTAGGGCCGGAAGCTGAAGGTTCCGAGGTCGTTTGGGGAGGCATGGGCCAGGGCGTTTCGATGGCGATTGGTTCCTGAAAAGGTCCGTAAGCTGAAGGGCCCTGCCGCATTCAGTGGCCGATCTGAAGC